GTTTCGACCTCGTTTTGCGTCAAAGGCGGATGGGAGACAAAACGACGAAAACGAAACACAAGACGACGGAAACAAGGGAAAACAATACGAAAACGAAAAGCACCGTTTAAGTTCAGCCCTGAGGATCGTCTGTGCTCGGTGGCTTTTGTTCGCGCCAGAATGGGTACGAGCGCTCGGCGGAGGACCCGGCGAGGCAGGAGGAGGATCGGACCAGGGGCAGTCCGGGAAGATGCTCGGAAGTGTTCGTCGGAGGGTCTTCCAGCCTCTGGATGCGTTCCAGCAGATGCGCCTCGCCGAGGTGCGTCCGAAGGCGCCCAGAATGTTCCGAACCGCCGCCGGAGAGCCGAGTTATGTCTCGAAGACAAAGGAGCAATGACAGGGATACGTTGCATTATGGGGGGGCCTCGTCTGTCCCCACAACTGGTGTCTTTTCCCGTGCCTGACGCGGGCTTGATGCGGTCTCGACGCGGATTTGGCGTGGTTTCGACGCGGACTCGACGACTCCGACATGGGTTCGACACGGATTCGACGCGGATGCGGACGCGCCAAGGTCTCCCGGATATGCAACGTAAGATCGCCATGACCAACACATAGCGGGACCTTGTCGACGCCGATCTTGGCCATTGCCCACGCGGGCCGTCGCCATTTCGCGAGGCGACGAGCGAGCGAACCACGCGAGCATGCCTATCGCTGCTCGGCCCTGTGCAGGGCATGTGTGTACAATCCGACTACCAGCCAGGCAACATTTCGCGAGGACGATGCAGGAATTGACGATGACCAAGAAGGGCGACCACGAAGATTCGCACCGACATTCTCGCGTCGGGGCATTCGTGCGGGTCTCGAGCGACGAGCTCCGGTCTGCCGCGCTTTCCCCGCGCCTTCGTGCGGGGTGGCATCCCAGGGCCAAGGCCACGAGCACTTCCCCCCCAGACCCCCGACGTCATGATTTTTTCATGACGCGACCCCCAGAGGTCTGGACACATTCCCCGGGACCTGTTTTTCATCCTTAGTCGTTTTTTGACGGTCCTGAGGGCCGGTAAGGGCCCCCAGAGGCCGAAAATAGCGAAAAACTTCCCGTCGTGATGTTTTCGTGACTCGAGGGGGTCTGGGCCTGAGGACCCCCCCCAAAAAGGCCCCCAGAACGACCGCGATCCTCGGGCCTCGATCGCACCGAGGTTCGAGGAGCGAGGAGCGAGGACGGAGGGCCGAGGGCCGAGGGCCGAGGGCCGAGGGCCGAGGATCGAGGACCGAGGCTCGAGGCTCGAGGCTCGAGTCTGGGACCCAGGCGACCCTCCACCCCCCGATCCTCCGCCCGCGACCCTCGCCCCTCGCTGGCCACGCGCAGAAGGGGGCGGGGGGAGGGGGGAGGGCTTCTCAGAAGCACCCCTGCTCCTCAGAAGGCGCGGGCCTTCTTTGTGGATGTCAGGCCGGCGCCTTCTAAGGAGCAGCCTACTTCTAAGAAGCCTTCCCCCCCCCCCACCCCCTTCTCGCGCGCCGCAACCTCGAGAACCCTCCCACCCTCCGGTAGGACCTGCTGCCTCCCTGGCGGCCATCGGGGGCGGGGCGCCAGCCGTCGCGCCCGCCTCCGCCGGCGCCCGGCCGCCGCCCCGCGCGCCCGCCGCGCCGGCCGCGCCCGCGGCGCCGGCCGCGCCCGCGGCGCCTGCCGCCGCCCCGCCGACGGAGCCGCCCCCGGGTGCCGAGAGGCTCAAGCAGTGGCGAAGCGTCCTGGCGTGCCTGCAGTCCTACCAATGGCACTGTTCTCAGAGCCTTTGGTGGTTTCCACGGAATGCTCTTGTAGGACATGTCTGGCGGAGCCTGTCCTGTTTTACCGCATCGGGTCTGTGTTCGAAGAACCTTGTTTTTGTTTTGAGAACATGTTTGGGTTCTAAGAACATGTCGTGGTAGGACTATAGGAATGCCGGGACGGTCGGTCCCTGCTCAAGAGGCGGTAAGTCGAGCAGTGGTCGGGAGGTTTGACGCGGGGGTCAATGCCAGTGGGAGTCAGCCAGAGCGCCCGATCTTGTAGGATCCTGCAGGTCGGGTATAGCCAGGACCCCAGGTAAGGGGGCCCGGTTAGCGGTAGGGCCCCAGAGCCCTTGAATTGGCCAGAATCGCTAAACCAGGTCTGCCGTCGCTGGTATTTTTTCGGGTGACGGCAGTTCCGGTTAGTGGAACGGGGCGGCGGGGGGGCGTTCCCCAGTACACATCACTAAACCAGATTCCACTAAACCCAGTTCTGCCAACGATTGGGCAGGGCCAGGGTCGCATGGACCTGGGTTTGGATGCAGGATCCTGCAAGGTTCTGCAGGATCCTTCGCACTGACCCGGGTTTGTGTGCTGGATCTTGCAGGATCCTGCAAGGCCTGACTGACCCGGGTCTGGAGTGACCCGGGTCAGAAGATCCCCGAAGTGGCGAAGCATCCTGGCTTGCCTATAAGCCCACCGAAGACTGTAATAGGAACCTTTTGTGGTCTGCACGACAGGTTCTCAGAGCATACTGGCTGGAACTATGTTTCAACGCATCGGGCTTATGTTCTAAGAACATTGCTTCTGCTCTTGGAACACTTTTCTGACTCGAAGAACACGTCGTGGTAGGCCTGCAGGAATGCCAGGATGGCGGGTCCCTGCTCAAGTAAGCCAGACCCCCTCGGGCGATGAACAAGAAGCACCTGCCAGCCTCGGGCTCTTTTCGGGCCTGCTTTCCGCACATCTGCGCGGGTGCTCGGCGGTGGTCCACCCCTCGGGATGTGTGCCAGCAGCTGCGCCTCGCCGAGGGCTCTCCTGGGGTGCCCGGAGCGTCCCGAACGGCTGCCAGAGGCACGAGGTGTGGACAAATCGCAACCCTGTCGGGCCGTGAGCAAATGACGACGGCTTGCTTTCCGCCATTTTAGGAAACGGCTCAGGACGAAAACGTGGGCCCGTCACGGATGAAACGGCTCAGGATGAAACGGATCAGGATGGAAACGGCTAGGACGTTCACGGGCCCTGAGGATGAAACTCTGGTTCTGGGGGAGGGGTCCAGACCTCTGATGGACCGCGTCGGGAGCAAATCATGACGTCGTGGGTCTGGGGACGGCACCGGTGCCGCCACCCTTCCCTCGCTGTCGCCTTTCGCCGAAGGAGAACGAACGGCAGAACCATAAACTTTCGAAGCTCCGCGCGGGTCTCGTGGGTCGGCGCTTGGGCCCCCTGCGGCGCCGCCCCCTCGGGGCCCCCGCGCGCCAGGGAGCGGGGGTCCAGCGCAGATCCAAGAAATCCGCGCAGACCTTCGAACGTGTGATTTGTGCAACTGTTTGTATCTCCGTTTTGAGCCTCCTGGGAGTCGGCGGCGAGCGAGGAGGGGGGAAGTGAGCAGGAGAAGGGCTTCTCAGAAGGCGTCGGGACTTCTCTGAAGCCCGCGCGCCTTCTGAGAAGTTTTCTGTGTCTTCGGGGAAGGCTTAGACACTTCTCAGAAGGCCAGGGGACCTCCGAGCCTTCTGAGAGGGCCCGCCCCTCCTCAGTCCCCCCCCCCCCGAGCTCGCCGCCGAGGGGGGCCCTCGTCGACGCGGCCGGCTTCGCCTCGAAATTCTGGCCAGGTCGCACCCCCGGGAGATGGTCCGAGGGAGGAGGAGGAGGCGGAGGAGGGGGAGGAGGTGGAGGAGGAGGAGGAGGAGGAGGAGGTGGAGGAGGAGGAGGAGGAGGAGGAGGAGGAGGAGGAGGAGGAGCAGGGGCGTGCCTGCGCCTGCCCTATAATAGGCCCCCCGAGGTGCGCCGCCCGGGCCGCCCGGGGGGCCAGCGCCGCAGCCCCCGGCGGAGGTGCCCGAGGTCGGGGCCGCCCCAAGCCGCGGGCGGTGTCTCTTCCCCGGCCCCCGGCTTTCGGGCGAAGAGAACTGTGATATATAGTGTGTGTATGACACGCTCGTACGCCACTCGCCGCCGCTTGGCTCTTAGGGGCCCCTTTTGCCTTGGCTTGAAAACGTATCATCAATCACACTGGCAGCGGAGCTGCTACACGATCTTCGGCATCGTACCACTGCGCAGGGCTCATCCTCGGGCGAAGAGAACGATTCTCGGGGGCGGAAAAGAGGGGGGTGATGACTAGGGGGGGTGGATCTCATGGCGGGGGGCATGAGATCTCCCCAGATTTCGTGGCGCCTCTTCTGATTTCATCACGTCCCTGGCCCCCCCCGCTGGGCCGCGCACATGCCGCAGGTCATGATTTGCACCCCCCTTCTTGGACCCCCCCCCTCTTGGCCGCTCCCGAGATTTGGGAGACCCCAAACCAGGTGGTGAAACATCAGGTGGTGACTTGGAATCCCCTCAAAGTCACCGCCGGGTTTTGGAACACGGGGTCGCCGCCAGGTTTTGTGACTCCTGGACACACCAGCGTTCGGGACATTCTCGAAAAAACAACACGAGTCCCCGAACCGGGTGGTGACACCAAATCGCCCGAGATTCACCGCCGGGTGTTGTCACCACCACGTTTGGGGACTACCAAACGATGCACGTGCACCGATGCTGACAACGCCCATCCTCGACGCAGGATCGGTGCACATACCTTCCTGGCCAAGGGCAAGAGGGCGCACGCACCGATCCTGGGCTCGGGGTGGGGCCTGGCCAGAAGCGGTGCACGTGCATAGTAGTTTTCTTTCCTCTAGACCTCTTCGTCGACGAAAATTGCAGCCCGCTCAAGAATGGAGGGGAGCCATGGGACATACCCCGAGGGGGCCATTCGGGCGCACCCCTGTCGAGGGTGGGCGCCCCCCCAAGGTATGTCCCAGAGTCGGGCCCCGAGTGTTCGGCCCATTCGAGAACCCTCCCAAAGCCTGGGACAGGGGTCGACATACCCCCTGTTGCCAAGTGGGGTCCGAGCAGGTCGGGTCGGAGGACCGCGCCGCGTCGCCGATGTATCGGCGATGCGGCTCGACGTGGAGCCCGTCCTTCTCCACGCCGACGGCGCCGGGGCATCGCCGAGGCATCATCGCCGAGGCATCATCGCCGAGGCGGCGCAATCCTCCGACCCCGCAGGGCTGTCCGCGGTGCCCGCGTCGGCCCCTCTCGCTCGTCGTCCTGGACCAGGGCCAGGGCGCCCGCGGTCTGTCCGACCGCGCGTGGATGCTGGGGCACCTCGGCTTCGTGGCGCGGCTGCTGTGCGCGGCGCTGGTCGCCCCGCGGCCGTGCGTGCTGCTGGCCTCGCAGCACAACGGCGGCCACCGCCTGAGCTGCAACGTCTCCTGGGGCCGGTACTTCGACCTCGAGGAGTTCTCTGTCTTGCGGGAGCAGGGCGACGAGGAGGAGGAGGGAGCAGCCGCCGCTGCCGCGGCTCGTGCTGGAGGGTCGGCGTCGCCGCGGCCGGATGTTCCTCGAAGTCTTGGCCCGGATGCACCCCGAGAGGGGGATGGCGCGTAGCGGTCTCAGTGAAGTAGGCTGGTGGTCAAGAAGTTACCGGGGTCCTGTTCGTGCGGCGGCGCCCTGGATGACGATTCGAAAAACTGGCCCCGGGCCAGGAAACTGTTTGTGCAATCGTTCCCCCCGTCCCCTTTGGGCGCGCGCCCGGACAGTCGGCGGGCCAGACGGAGCCGAAGCGAAGCAGAAGCCGAAGATTCGGAAACTATTTACTTAATCGTTTCCCCCACATTCTTTATTATCCTTCATCATCTTGCATTACCTTGTTCCTCCAACGGCGAGGCCGAGCCCGAGGGTGCCTTGGCGATTGGCCCACAGGGCAGCGTGTCGGAGCAGTACACGGCGGCCAGGGCCGCCGCCATCGGGGGCAGGCCGTTCGTGTGGAGGCTCAAGGAGTACTACTACTCGAAGGCCTTCCAGGCCGCACGGGACGCGCTGGTGCTCAGAGGAGGAAGAAGTACCGATACCGCTGCCCTCGCCTCGTGTTTCTCCTTCTGGGCCTCTGGGGCGGCCCTCGTCGCCACCGCTGGACTCGGGGTGTAGCAGCATCGGCATCTTCTGGTGCCCTCAGGTGCAGCCCGACCTGCGCGGCTGTGCCGCCTGGGCGCCGCGCTACTTCCGATCGGATCTCCCCGACCTGGAAGCCGTCTCCAGCTGGGAGCTGGGGTGGCTGAGGTACAGGCAGCCCGGGCCCTCGGCGTTCGTGGCTGCGCTGAGGGACAAGTTCCTGGCGGGCGTGCCGCTGATGCCCGGTTCATACAACGCGTTCCACCTCCGAAAGGCGAACGACGACCACGGCTGCGACACGAGCGTCGCAAAGGTTGTGGCCTACTTGGCGTGCTCCCTGCAGGGGGACGCCTCCGCCCTCGTGGTGCTCTCCGAGGCTCCAGCAGAGGAGGTCAGGCAGATCGAGCGGGAGCTGTCGCGCTCCACGCCCCTCCGACTCTTTGTGCACGCGGACCCTGGCCTGGCGGCGCTGGCGCGGGACGTGGCCGCCGAGGGCCCCGACAACTTCCTCGTCTACGCCGCGGGGCAGGCCGTGCTCGGCCTGGCGCGGCGGCAGCTCCAGCGCCGGAGGCGGCTGCACTGCACCGCCTGCGACCCGCCCTGAGCCCGCGCCGGGCGGTGGCGTCGGCGAGGCGGACGCTCGGTGGCCGGGCGCTGAGCGCTGGCGGTGGCGCCTTGGTCAGGGCTCGAGCTCCGTCGTCGCGGCCGCGGGGGCCGGGTGGGCCGCGGCCGGAGGCCTCCCGGCCCTTCGGCGGGGCCCCCCGCCGCCTCGGCAGGCCGCAGCCCTGCCCCGCCCTCGCCATGCGCGCCGCCGGGATTGGCGTCCTGCGACCCGGGCGGCTCCTCGGGGGCGCCACGCCGCAGGAGGAGGAGCGCAGGAGACGGAGGAGCTCCGACTCCGTGCGCGGGTTCGGGTCGGCGCTCTCGTCGAGGCCAAGACCTTCACCAACGGCTCGGTCCAGGAGGCGGCGAAGGCGATCGTCGGCCAGCTGGGCCGCGCGCAGCTCGGCGGCGTGACGAGAAGCTGGGCTTCGAGAGGCTGCCGCCCCCGAGTCCCGAGCAGGCGACGGCTCGGCGGCTGCCTGCAGCCGTGCGCCCGTCTGGAGGAGGTGGGCCGAAGTCGGGCACGTCCCTCTACAGGATGAAGATATAGTCAGGGGACGATTACTCATTTGTTTGTTGTGTGTTGGGCGTATTTTTTGAATATGTTCGATTTTCCCACCAAAGCCCGCCTGCACATGCCCGACATAAAGGTGGACGTGAGAGACTGCAGTATCGGCCCTGCTGCTGCTGGCGCTGAGGCGTTTACGGGAGCGATGCCCTCCATGCCCACCCTGCACAATTCAGCCACGCGCAGAGGGGGAACGGGGGATGGGGAAAGGCTTCTTTGAAAAAGGCTTCCCCCATCCCCCTACGCCGTTGTGCGCGCCGCCAAAGCGTCCTGAGCAACAGCGAACCTGGCGAGCGCACCGGCCCTTGTAGATTGTGCTGCTCTCCGCGCAAGCGGCCTGGGAGTGCTGGTCCTGGACAGCCGCCGTATCGGCGGCGGCGGTGCAGGGGCCCTGGCGGGGGCGTCGTCCTCTATGCCCACCTGCGCCAGCTGTGCCCGTCGGTCGTTGAAAGTGGGCGGTCCTAGGGAGTCCCAGATCCCGCTCTGCTTCAAGCGCTTGCCTCCTCCAAGAGCCGACCTGCTTGTGCTGCGTGCCGTGCTGTTTTCTGAAAAAAAGAAGAATGCCCGGGCCGCACCTCTGCCCGGTCCGCCCTCCTACGTCGCGCTTCTGCCTCCCTCTTCCGGCCGCCGCGTGCCCGAGCCAGCGTCGCCCTCGGCGGCGCGCGCGCCCGCGGTGCTCCCTGTGGGGCGCAGCAGGGGGTGGGCCTGCACGGTGTTTTTGGCGATGTCGTGGGCCGTTTTCGCTTCGACTTCGTTCTGCGGTCAAGGCGGATGCGAGACAAAAGCCAGGGAAGACGAGCACAAAGCCAGAACGACAAACGCCGTTCAGGTTCGGCCCTGCTCTCTGGGGCGCAGCCCCCCGCGCCGAGCCTGCTGCAGGAGCTGCCCCTGCGCAGCAGCGGTGCTGGCGGCGCGGGCGGCGGCTGCGGGGGCCGTCCCGCTCGTCTCCCGGGCCCAGGCGCAGGGCCCGGCCAGGGCCCAGAGGGCTCGAGTTGAATCGCCTGAAGTCGGGCACGTCCTTCTACAGGGGGGATATTCAGAAATAGTCAAAAAACAGTAAGGGGACGATTCTCCATTTTTAAATAAGTACTTGATTAATTGATTCATTCATTAATTGATTTGTTAATATTCATATATGAAGCAGCTCTTTTTTGAATGTTATTCGCTGTTTTTTCTTTCAAAATCCGCCTGTAGGGGGACACACCCGACCTAACTCTTGTGCCTGGCTGGCGCGATGGCGCCTGACTCCCCCGCGGCCGCTCGGTAAAACAAATGTTCCGCCAGCGCCCACGTCCAGACCCCCGGGACCAATTGCGAACCCTACCCCTGCAGGTCCATTGAATTCTGGGGTATCGGACACCCCTGCTGGGCGTCCTTTGGCTGCAGGCATCCCTCGGATTCTCTGGCCCAGACTGCGTTTCGGAACAGTGAGCTGCAGGGGTGTGGCTGACATGTGGTTGCCGAGGACCGCCTCGGCGTCTCGGGAGATCCTTTCAGAGGCCCCCCCGGGAGCATCGTGCGCTGGGTCTCCGACCATTTGCGAACCCTACGCCCACGGGTCCGATTGGCAAGCGACGCTGGGGTATCGGACACGCCCGCGTTGGGGTCCGCTTGGCTGCAGACATCCCGCAGATTCTGAACCGCAGCTGTTTTTTCCCATTGTCAGAAATCTGACCTGCAGGGGTACAGTCGGCCTTGATTCGTAGGGCGAGCATGCCAAATCAAGGGCACCCTTGTGTCCTGTGTCTGGCGACCCATGCCTCCTACATTCCTGCTGTAATGTGGCCATCGGAAGAGTCTTGTGTCCTCTCGCATGTCCTGTCAAATCAAGCCCGACTGTACAGCGCCGGTTTTAATTCATGCTCCGCGTGCGGATCATGTATTAAACATGCAGGGATTTAGTATTAAAAGCAACGATGAGTTCATGCATAAGTTTATTCATGAATCAATCATGTATTAAACATCCGATGCTTTCAAACATCCTATGTATCAAAAACTGCCCTGTAGGGTCCACATGTGGTTGCCCACTGGGGTCGCCCCCAGGGGCGCCGTGCGGTGGAGATGACCGCGCCTCCGCACCTCGCAGTCGGGGCCGCAGAGGCTCACCTCTCGCCTCCTGCGGTGGGGGCGCGCGAGGCCGCGAGGGCAACAGCTCGTCGCCCAGCCAAGCTGCGCGAACTTGGGCGACCTACGGTCAGGAACGTTTGCTTGGCGGGTCGCGCGCCGCTTGTTCTGGTCCACCACGCTTCCGCGGGACACGCTACAGTGGGGACCCATGCCAAGAAATACCCTGCCTGCCTCCAAAGTGCCCTGGGTTTCTTGGGTTTCATTTTTTTTTGTCCATGGGAGGCGCGACGCTCCCAAACCAAAAATCCTTGGACGTCTTGGGGTCTCAGGTATAGGTTTCTTGTGGAAGGTTTCTTGTGGACTGGTCTCCATTGTAATTGGGGGCACGAGGAATGGCATACACATACAAACTCGGAGGTCCGCGCGGATTTCTCGGATCCGCGCTTGACCCCCCTTCCTGGCTCGCGGCGCGCGTCAGGGGCGGCGCCGGAGGCGCCGCCAGGGGGCTCCAGCGCCGATCCGAGAAGTCCGCGCGGGCCTCCGAGCTTTCATGTTTGTGTCCTTCTCTTGGCATCGCTCGGACGTGTGCATTCTTCCTTCGGCGAGGACCATCGAGGAGCATCCTTGATCCTTTGGCGCAAAAACCACGCACGAAACCGACAGCAACATACAGGGAACGGACGTCCGAGCGATGGCCAGTTCTTCGTCCCGCAGTAGTCACGTCGCGGTCCCCGGGCGTCGACGTCCCGAGCGCCCCGCCGCCTCCCGCCCAGCAGCGCGAAGAGCGTCGCGCCGGCAGCTCGGCGGGCGCGGCGTGGCGCCGGGGCCGCCGCCGCGGCGCGCCGAGCGGCCCCTGCTGGTCTTGCGCCCTGCTCTCCTGCGGGTCGGCCTGCCGTCGGCCCCTTGGGCGTTCGAGCCTCCCCCCTTCGTCACCGCCCCTCTTCTCGAGGAAGGACAAACGACGTGAACATACACTTTTGGCGCTTCGCGCGGAGCGCCAAAGAAGTTTATGTTTGTGCCGTTGTTTCTTCTCCGATCTTCTGCCCAGACATGCAGCGCCTTCGCTCTTACAAGTCCAGGGGCAACGTGAAGGGGCCTGTGCTCGCTGGGGAACGCACCGCCCACCAATCGCCCATCGATTGCCGGCAGGGGCCCGATGGTCCCGCCCCGCTCAGGAACGTGGGGAGTCGCTACCGGGGGCCCTATCGCCGATCCATCGGCGATGTATCGCCGATTCAGGCTCGAGGTTTGCCCTCCTGGGCTGGTACCCCTTATCGGTGCCCTTCATCAGTACGCCCTCCCCCCCTTCCCCCGGGAGTTTCGGCCCCTTCCCCTGGGCCGGCTTGTCATCCCGAGTCGTTTTGCTCCCCATATCCTAAGATGGGGTGCTTGTTATTACTCTGACGCCGCCGACTCCTCAGTCAGGCCTCCTCCCATTCTCGTCTCCTCCTGTTTAGATTCGTCCATATTCAGATTGCTTCGCACTCGTACTGTTCAGAGTTGTTCACATTCAGACTCACTCATATTCATATTCTCTCGGGTTCACTCATGCCAAGACTCTGTCGCAGTCATTCGTTCATTTTCAGAAGATTCGGAGGATGTCTCAGGTGGGGTGTTGGTTTCAGCACCCCTAGGGGGAGCCGCCAGAGGGGTATGGCACGGCCTCTCAGGCGGTTTGCTTGTTGCGGTGCCCAACATCGTTTGTGTTGACAGCAGTTTGTGAACATGTCACAGGCGGGGCGCTGGTTTCAGCACCCCTAAGGGGAGCCGCCAGGGGGTATTGCACGGGCCCGTTCGCGGCCAGTTTGTTGCGATGTCTCAAGCGGTTTGCTGATTTCGGTGGCCAGCACCGTCTGCGTCTACAGCAGGTTGTGAGGATGTTTCAGGCGGGGCGCTGGTTCCAGCACCCCTAAGGGGAGCCGCCAGGGGGTATTGCACGGGCCCGTTCGCAGCCAGTTTGTGGGGATGCCTAAGGCGGTTTGCCTGTTTCGGTGGCCAACATCGTCTGCGTATAGACCAGCTTATGAAGATGTCTCAGGCGGGGCGCTGGTTTCAGCACCCTTACGGGAGGGAGCCGCCAGTGGGTTTTTTATGGGCCCGTTCGCGGCCAGTCTGTGGGGATGTCTCAGGCGGTTTGCGTGTTTCGGTGGCCAACACCGTCTGCTTTTAGAGCAGATCGTGTGGATGTCTCAGGCGGTGCGCTGGTTTCAGCACCCCTAAGGAGAGCCGCCAGGGGGTATTGCACGGGCCCGTTCGCGACCTGTTTGTGGAGTTGTCTCAGGCGGTTTGCCTGTTTCGTTGGCCAACACCGTTTGCTTTTAAAACAGATTGTAAGGATGTCTCAGGCGGGGCGCTGGTTTCAACACCCTTCAGGGGAGCCGCCAACGGGTGTTTTCACGGGCCCGTTCGCGGCCAGTTTGTGGGGATGTCTCAGGCGGTTTGCCCGTCTCCGTGCTCAACATCGTCTGCGTTTATAGCAGTTTGTAAAGATGTCTCAGGCGGAGCGCTGGTTTCAGCACCCCTACGGGGATCCACCTGGGGTGTATGACACGGGCCGATTCGCAGCCAGTTTGTGGGGATGTCTCAGGCGGTTCGCTTGTTCTGTGGCTCAACATCCTTTGCTTTCAGAACAGATTTGGAGCATGTCTCAGGCGGGACGCTGGTTTCAGCACCCTTGAGGGCGCTGGTTTCTTCCTCTCCTCCGTTCCCTCTCCTGTGCGCTTCCTCCATGCACCTCTGTCGCGTCCTCGCTCGGGTCTCCGGTGGCCGAGTCGGCCTCGGGGGGGGGGTTGGCTTCAGGGGGCAGATCCAGTGATCCACAGGACGGCAGGGCGTTCTTGGTTGAAGGCCGTCTTCGTTACCCCCCGGGTGGGTGAGTGGAGAAATGGCTGATGACGCAGCATGTTCATCTGCGGCTGTGCAGGCTCGTGCAGGCTGGGGGATCGTTATCTGGGGCGGATCTGGTGATCCGCAGGAGGGCGCTTTCGGTTGAAGGCCATCCCCATCCATCATATTTCTGAGTCGGGCCGAAAACCGCCATTGTTCGTCATCCTGTGTGTGAGTGTAGCAAAGACTGATGACGCAGAGTGCCTTGGCAGCAAATGCGCTAACATATGCATGTGAGTGAACGTGTACATGTGTTGAATGTGCAGCCGAGCTGCGCGCACGTGTGCTCGTCGCTCACATGGGCGCGCTCTTAGATCAAAGCTATCATTGACATATGCTCATCATGGCACTATCCTACAATATGAATTGCGCAAATATCTTATATGGCTAGACGCTCATATACATATCCCAAGTGCAAACTATCGTTTTCAACATATCCACATATGGGGAGCTCCGCGCAGTGAGTACTTCACGGCCCCGGGGCCTGGCGAGGGTCCCCGGGACCCGAAAATGACAACAATTGTTCTACAGTGGCGGCCCATGCCAAGAGACAAACTGCTTGCTTCCAGGGTGCCCCGAGTTTCTTGGGTTTCGGTGGTTTTGCGATGGAAAGCGTGGTGCTCCCACACCAAAAATCAAGGGACGCCCTGGGGTTCCAGGGCTGGGTTTCTTGTGGAAGGTTTTTCTTATTGACTG